TTAGCACCATCTGATTTGAGTAAGCCTGTCCCACACTTTAATTACTTTGGGTTTTCTTGCTGTCATATAGATGTCATCATGTGGTGTCCACCTGTTGTCACCTTGAGTTCCCCCAGTCAGTGGCACCGTGGTAGCTTTCATAAACCTCCATAAGTTTTGAGTGGTTGAGCTGGAGGCTTGACCTGGCTTGAATGAGTGACTGTGAGCTGAGTTTGGATTTCATTATCAGAACCATCTAGCAGTCTAAAGCAAGATTCTAATTGTGTTGATGCTTTGGAATACCTTTTTCCTGCAGAGATCTGGCACTGTTCCCAGGTGGGCCTTGCGCGTGGCAGGTGAAAAAGTCCCTGCAGTGTCTGAAGGTGTGCACCTGTTGTTTACTAGGGTGTCAGCCCTCTGTTGTGTTTGTGGTGCAGGCTGCTGCTGGGTTGGAAGAGACTTTGGGTGTGGGTCTGGGAACCTGATAACTAACGGGAACGGATTCTAACAGTCCAAGTCTAAGTACTGAGGAGACATTACCTGTGCTGGAAGTGGAGTACTTCTTTCTCCTTGTTTTTAAAAAAATCTAAGGCTAGAGCTAGTTCATTATCTGTAATGTCAATATTGATTTTTGTTTTCAGCATGGAGTATTAACAGATTAGAGTGGCTGCTGGCAATTCTCAGCTGCTTCATTGAATTTCAATGAATCAAAGGATAGCTATTAAGATGTACTTGAGAGTTTTGGGCTAAATCAGGTCTTCTACTGTGGCTGGCTTTGACTAGATTTACTGTTTCCTTTGCAGCATCAAGACAGAACAGTGGAATCTCAAAACCTCTTCCTTACTTTTTATAAAACCAGATTCTATTTAAGATGCACAGATAAGAGGTGTTAAGCCACCCTCTGCAATACAATGCAGCTTTCCTCTTTTCCTCTGCCAAGAGAAGTTTTTGAATTAAAACTATTGACTAACACAATCCATGCTAGCAGATGGTACTCATACAGCATATGCCCAAATGCAAATTTGTTCAGCGGCAGCAAGTGTCTAACAGACTGAACTTTATAAAGACAAAAAATTTTAGTAATCTTAAAGGATTAGCGATGCTCCAGAGAAATGAGGCACTTTTCAAACCAGGCTTCTTAAGATGCTAAATTACTGTGCTCTCTATATCTAGAAACTAGTTCAATTTTCAGCCAAAGTTACTTCCTACCCTCCTTGCTTCCCTTCTCTTTTTCCTTCCTCCAGCGCTTCCTCCAATCTAGCATATAAATTAGAAATTAATAATAATAATTATTATATAAATGGCCACATCACTATTTTTTCTAATGTGGGAGGACCATATGGATAAGTCAGCAGCCTGGAAGGAACTATTTTCTCTTTTTATGGCTCTGTAGGATCCCAGGATTGAATTGTTTGAAATACAGCTGGGGGTTGGAAAGGGAAGTTATTATTAGAAAACAAAGAGAGAAAGCAAGGAAGGAAGGGAGGAAAGGAAAGAAAGAAGAAAGGAAGAAAAAGAAGGAAAGAAAAAGAAAGAACCCCTCTCACACCAGAATTTAGAGAGGTTATTATATCTGAGTTAATAAATGCCAACATTGAGTCTTGAAATACCCCTTCATTTTTCATTATACAGCCTGATTTATTGTTGATTGGCTTTTCATGGCCTAATTAATGATGATAACCTTTTGAGTGACTAGAAATAAAATGAATTTCATGGATGTTTGGTATTCTAACTCTGACTCCACTGAAGTTGAAAGCCTTTTGGGGTTCATGATAAGATAATTGTTTACAGGCTTCCTGTTGGAGGCCTTTGTGTTTTATGAGTTCAGGTCAGTAAGAGTCATAAATTTGTTCCTTGTTTTGATGGTATAGAATAGAATCCTGCATAAATGCTGGGGAGAGAAACCCTTATTAAAGGCTTTCTCAATCTTAGAGCGATGAACATTTTTGCAAAACATAGTAACTTCAGTTAAGAATTATAGTCAAGACCTTGGAAAACGCTCATTGGCAGACACGTTGAGATATTCTGCTTCCTGGAAACATAACTAAGGCTGAGGTTCAGAGAACATTTTCTCTAAATAGCTTCCCCCCTAAAAATATGGGAGCATAAGTCATTCATATTTATTATCTTAGAAAATAACCACATGGTAGTGTAAACACTAAAGAACAATGTGAGCTTTTTGAATAGACTTACCTGAGTTGGCCCACTGAGTGGAGAACACTCATTTTGCAGCTGGGCAAATAGACCCTGAGATTTCCTTGCATTTAAAGAGCAGTAGGTGCTGTCTAGCCTCGTGGTATATCTTGGTGAAAAACTAGTGAAGTGGAGCCAGGCTTTGGTCAGTGTGGACTTAGGGGAGTTTACTTTGAATCTCTGAAGCTACTGCCTGAGCTCTGGATAAAGACATTAGTGATGGTGAGCTGGACTGCCTCCTGCTACTCCAGCTTCCCAGTCCTGCCCCCAACCACGTAGTTGGGCCCTGTTGGCTGGAGACAGCCTGGTCAGAGATCAGCAGAGGTCCCAGCTAGTCAGGGCCCTGACTGTGCGGAGGAGGATTGAGCATGTAGGCAGCTCCTGGTGGCCCTTCCCGGGCAGGTGCCAGCTCACTCTTGCCTGAGGCCTTGCCTGGGTGCTGAGACCACAGGCTCCAGGATGCACTGCTGTTTCCTCCTGTTGGCCCTGTACTAGACCTGACTTTGCAGATTCCCAGGCCATCCCACCCTCACCTGCAGATAGGACTCTCTGCTCATGCCATGCTCCACAGAGGACTGACTCACACTGTTCACCCCCCAAATTGTACACTCTGTATTTGCACCTGTGCCCACAGTCACCTTCACATACAGCCACTGCTACTTGTGAAGAAGCCTCAGAACAGCAGAGCCTTGCAGACCATCCTTTATGTTATTAAAGCAATTCAAATGAAGCTTATTTTTCAGCCTACTGAGGATTATCAAGTTCCAAACTTTAAATTACCCATATAATTTTCTTTTTAAATTAACCTCATAAAAATTAGATGGCAGTTAAATGAAAAACATGTGTTGTGCTTGGTATTTTTCTTCTTACTGAGCCTACAAACTTGTTGGCTTAAAGACAACAGGGCAGGATTGTCCTGGACCCAAGGCTGTGTTCTTTTAGCTTGCTGCCAGCTCCTGGATTTAAATTGCCTTGTGTGATTGATAAAGATCATTCCCTTTCCCTGGATCTAAAGGGAATAGGAAAGCCTATGGGTCATGGGCAAAACTCTGTTGCAAAGTGTTTATGAATGTAATTTCTCTCAAGTATTCATACTCAAATGGGTAGTTTCAGATATGCCCATGTGCTGGGCTTGTGAGATGTAATCCTTGTCATCACTGGGTACTCCTGTTTCTAATGACCCAGGATCACTGCTTCCTGCACCCCCGCCTCCCCCACCCCTCATTACCTTTTCTCTTGTTGGTAGTATCAATTGCCAGCATTTTGAACATGAGTATTTGGCAGAAGGCTTACCAACAGGAGTTTTCAAAACTAAAGGCACAACCAAGGAACACAGTATTGAATGTCTGTGGTAAATTACTTGTATAAATATATCACACTGGGCTGTGTATAATTGTCAGTAAGCATAAACATGTAGGGTTTTATATTTGGAAAGAACTCTTGATCTTTCATTTTACAGAAGAGGATTCAAAGAACCAGAGATGTATTGGCTTGTTTTAAGGTCCCACAGAGTCAGCTGGCAGAGGAGAAAGCAAGGCAGCCCTGTCTCCTGGTCCCCAGGCTGCTCTTCTGCTCCCTCATGGTGCCTCTCTTGTACTGGTGGCCTCCCACGGTTCCCCACAGCCATTCTCCATCCTGGAGGTGGAGGACAGACCCATGTGGTGGGACACACCCATGCTTCTTTCTAATCATGCTCATTCTGCCACAAACTACCCATCAGTTTACAAGGCCCAGTGGGTGTCCTGCCTCCCACACTGGTCTCACCATCCTCAGAATGCCCAAAGTCCACTTAAGTGTGTTTTAGCTCTTTTGACAGGGCTTCATTCCAGATTGTGGTGGTAATTCCCATCTTGTAGGACGTGTCATGATGCCTGGGGGGCAGTAAACGGGCCTGGTGAATAGGGAGAGAGGTAATATACTAGATGTTACAAAGTGGGCTTGGTGTCTTCTGATTTGCTGCCCAGCCTTTCAGGTGTCTGTCTGCTCTCCAGCTGGCTACTAAGCTCCAGAAGAGCAGAAAGTATGGCTTCTGTGTCTCTCACCATAGCCCTTAGCAGAGTTCTCCGTTCATGGTGGTCACAGCATTGACACATCATTTTCCTGCCCTTTGAATCTTGGATTCAGTTTAAAATACAAGTTTACTTTATCTTGAAGCCTCAGAACATGGCCCCATCTTCATGGCTGGCTAAATGGCGCCCACCATTGGAATAAAGAAGTCAACAGGTCATGGCAATTAGTTTACAGGTTCCCTTTCTGTACTTAGATACTGTGCTACTTATTTGCAGTGACAAGATAGTGTGGGTATTGGTGGGAGATGCAAGCCAGATAATTGTTAGGATTGCTGTAAAAATTGCAGTGGAAACAATAATCCTCCTGGGTTAGCTTCTTATAGCTAGAAAACCACTAGTGAAATTTTTGTTCCAAGAGCTTCAAAATCATCAGGTTGCTGCATTTTATCCTGGTGGACTTCTGAAGTAATTCTGGTAACATCTACTGTGCAGGTATTTAAAACCTTGGAATACAGAATTGCTGATAGAAATGAGCCAGTTAAGAAGGAGGAAATGACACACAAATGTTGTGAAGTAAGACAGATTATATGGCATTTATAACACTGGTTTGTAGTTTGCTCATAAAAGAGAATACCTAACTGGAATTTATCTGGTGAAAATGAAACCATTAAACTCACTCAAGTGAAAAACCGGTGGCCATCTGCCAAGTAAAAGCATAATTACCATTTGGAAGTGAGCTTCATCTGTGCTTCTGTCTGTACATGATGGTGTCTCCCGCGGAGAACCCTCTCTGACTTCTGGTTTTCTCACTGTTTCCAGAGCCTGAGCCCCTGTGAAGCCGGCAATGACAAGCCTGAGTGGTGGCCATGCCGGAAAACCCACTGACATGCCAAAACCATCAGCCCCCAGGGTGCAGGTGCAGAGGTCCGTGTCCCGAGACACTATCGCCATTCACTTCTCGGCATCCGGGGAGGAAGAGGAGGAAGAGGAGGAGGAGTTCAGGGAGTCCCTTGAGGAGGGGCTGGGTGACCGAAGCATTGTAACGGGGCTTGAAGCCAAGGAAGACCTCTATCTTGAACCCTGTGGCCATGACCCTGCTGGCCCTGCTGCCCAGCCCAGCCTGGCAGATGAACTGTCTGTGTCCCCTGCCGTTTTGCCTGTGTCCAAGAACACTGTAAAGCTCTTGGAGTCCCCTCCTCGGGCAGTGCAAGTATTCAGTACAGTGCCATTGGCTCTGTCCCCAGGTGCATCTTCATCCGGGCCCTTAGCTAGCTCTCCCAGTGTGTCATCCCTTTCTGAGCAGAAAACCAGCTCTTCTTCTACGTTGTCCTCTCCTTCCAAGTCTCCCAGCCTCTCAGCCAGTGCCTCGTCCTCCGCCCTTTCCAGCACAAAGCCCTTCATGAGCCTTGTGAAGTCCCTGTCAACCGAGGTAGAGCCGAAAGACTCCCCCCACCCGCCAAGGCACAGGCACTTGATGAAGACATTAGTCAAGTCTCTGTCCACAGACACCTCCAGGCAGGAGTCAGACACTGTGTCCCATAAGCCGCCTGACTCCAAGCTGAATCTACACCTGTTCAAGCAGTTCACACAGCCACGAAACACAGGTGGGGATTCCAAAACCGCACCCTCTTCCCCACTGACTTCTCCCTCTGACACGCGCTCCTTTTTTAAAGTGCCCGAAATGGAGGCTAAAATCGAAGACACTAAACGACGCCTTTCAGAAGTCATATATGAGCCTTTCCAGCTCCTTAGTAAAATTATAGGGGAAGAAAGTGGCAGCCATAGGCCCAAAGCCTTATCTTCAAGTGCTTCAGAACTCTCCAATCTGTCCAGCCTGAATGGTCACTTGGAAAGCAATAACAACTACAGCATCAAGGAGGAAGAGTATGATTCCGAGGGGGACGGCTCTGGGAGTGACCCCAGCGTCCCCAAGAGTGACCCCTCAAAACCCACTGATGAGCCCACAAGAGAGGCGGAACTGAAAAGCTCCCAGGTGAGCAGCCTGAAGGATTTAGGCCTGAAGACTGGTTCTCTAGTTCTTGAGAAATGTTCTTTGTCTGCCCTAGTGAGCAAAGAAGATGAAGAGTTTTGTGAACTGTACACTGAGGACTTTGATTTGGAAACAGAGGGCCAGAGTGATGCTGGCAAGTTCCCAGATATCCCCCTGAAGCCAGAGGTGCTGGCGGACGATGGTGCGGCTCTTGACAGCGAAGAGCAGGTAGACCCGGCCACGCAGCGCCCGGAATTACCAGTGAAGACGCTGGGCTTCTTTATAGTGTGTGTCTACGCGTACCTCATCCTCCCCCTCCCCCATTACGTGAACGGACTCTTTCTGGGAATTGGCGTTGGATTCATGACTGCAGTTTGCATGATTTGGTTTTTTACACCACCAAGTGCTCATAAATATCACAGACTACATAAAAATCCAGGACGGTGGAACACAAGGTCTCTGGATATCAAAGAGCCTGAAATACTTAAGGTAAGTTTCTCTGCAGCAGCTGGCTGGCATAGACTTTCTCTCATATAAGGCGTGTTTTAGATACAACTTAATTTTTTCAGTTATTGTCATTGGGTTTTGCATAAGTGCCATTTTTTACTTTGGGGGTTTCTTCATTCTCTAGGCACCCAAGACACTTAACCTGGTAAACCACGTTCTGGTTCAAGTTTTACCAGTTCACCAAGTAGTTTTTTAAGGATAGTGCTGTAGAGTAGCACGTACATCCGGTTCCTATGTCATCTCTCTAAACTTTCCAGGGGTTTTCTACTTGCTGAGGATTCGTTATAGCTGAATCTGTTAGGATTAAATATTCTTGAGACCCTGGAGAAGGATTAAGTACCCCTGGGATACAAGAGAAGGGGAGGAGAAAGAGAAGGCAAACCAAGGTCAGTGGACGGCCAGTGCTGGCCCTCACCTTTCCTCTGCGCACAGTGGGATGTTGGCTGGAGAAAGAGACATCACCTGTCAGTACATGTCAGGTCTTGGGATCTGGGCCTCGTGAGGGGTGCCGAGACGATCTGTTAGGATGCAGGAAGAAAACACTAGAACTTCCGTTTATATTTATTTTTGCATATTTAAAATATTTTTAGTATATTGTATATGTTTCATAATATACATATATAAAAGAATAGCTGGAGCTTACATAGTTTATGTATCATAGGCACATACATTTCATATATTTATATATCAGTTTTTTTAATTGCAAGAAGATACACAAAATTTATCTTCTTAATTCATTTTTCAAGTTAAGTGGTATTAAATGCATTCACATAGTTGCACAGCCATCACCACCACCATCCCCACAACTTTTCATCTTGTAAACCTGGAGCTGTATACCCATTACACAATAACTCCCCATTTTTCCTGTCCCCGTAGCCCCTGGAAACCCCCATCCACTTTGTCTTTTTTATTTTGAATGCTCTAAGTACATCATCTAAGAATCACACAGTATTTGTCATTTTGTAACTGGCTTATTTCACTTCTCATAATGTTCTCAAGGTTCATCCATATCATAGCGTAATGCAGAATTATCTTCCTTTTTAAGGCTGAATAATATTCCATTGTACGTATAGACCACATTTTGTTTATCCATTCATCTATCAGTGGACTCTTGGGTTCCTTCCACATTTGAGCTGTGGTGACTAATGCTGCTATGAATGTGGATATACAAATAACTCTTTGAGATGTTGCTTTCAATTCTTTTGGGAATATACCCAGAAGTGGAATTGCTTTATCATATTGTAATTTGATTTTTAGTATTTTGAGAAACTGCCATACTATTTTCCACAGTGCCTGTACCAAATGTTTTACATTCCTACCAGCAGTGCAGGAGGGTTCCAATTTCTCTACATCCTTGACAACACTTGTTTTCTGTTGTTTTTTTTAATAGTTCAAAGCTTGTTTGGTTTCTCTGTTAATATGTTTTTCCTCCTCTCTGTTTAATTTAAGAATACTTAAAAATAATCTTTATTGTCCCATAAAACAAATAAAAAAACAAAAACAAGGGGAGGAACTCTTAGGATCCAAATACTATTTTGTTTTGTTTTTTAATTTCACAGACTTTCTACCTTATTCAAAAGAAATGCATGGCCAGTGTTTTAAAAAACACAAGAAACCCAAAGAAAGAATTTATTCTTTATCATGCTAGTGGGAGGGAATTAGAGTTAATGTTTTGGTATATATCCTAGTTTTGCTTTTGTATTTTTAAATTTCTGCATGCATAGGTACATACATCATACACATGCATATTCATGCACTCTTTTTGTTTAGATTGAATGGGATCATATATTTTGCAACCTGACCTTTTTTATTTTTTCCATATAATATATTAGGAGACCATATACACACACACGCGCGCGCGCGCGCGCACACACACACACACACAAACACACACACACATATATACAGAGAGAGAGAGAGAGAAAATATATACATATTACAATATATAACATATGGTAATAGACTCTGAGACTTTTTTAAGAGGAGCTGGTGCTGAGTCTGGAGGATATGACATACTTAGGCTTAGTATTAATATATGAAATGGAGCAAAAATGACTCACTATGCATGATTGCAAAGCATTTTTAGTAGAGCAGTGCTACTACCTGAATTACATACCCTCTAAGGAAATTAATGATAACTTTACCAAAGAAAAATGATACTTATTGCCCAATGATACCATTGCCCAATGACCAACTATGGCATTTAGTTAAACTAGTTTGAGCACTTGTTTTGGGAAGTTTTTAATTTTAATCCAGTCAGTGTTCAATGCTGAGTGTAATCACTGCTATGTGTCAAGAGTTACTGACTACACAAAGAATGCCAGGAGAATGGGACTTTAATGGGAGTCTGGTCACTTTGATCTGATCATTGCAAATATAAAACAGCACCATGATATAGAGCACCTATAGTGAGCTAAGTGTTGGGTGCATTGTCGCATTTAATCCTCAGCACAGCCCTTTTCAGTTAGGGTTGTAGTCATGAGGCAGCAGAGGCACAGAGAAGTTAAGTTACTTGTCCATGGTCACACAATAGTGAGTGATGGAGCCGTGCAGGACTGTTTCTTTTAAGTCCTGATTAAGCCATGCAGGACTGTTTCTTATCTCTCTGTGCCTGGATAAATGTATTTGAATTTTCCTTGTAGAGAACAAATACTTACATGCTGTCACAGACTGACACCTATTACCCAAGCAAATTGTCTTAGGCTGTCTTATGAGTATTCTTCATGATTGCTGTTTTAACAACTCTGATGATCATTCTGGTAATTCTTTTTCATTCAACTTGTTTAGAATAGCTTCATTACTAATAAGGAAAGTAATTTTAGGCTGAGGTCTGTCATTTGGTGTGCAGGACTGTTTTTAGAAACCTGGCTAAATACATTCTTTACTTTGAAAAGGGACGCCACTATAGATTAGGAGGGTCATGTATGTTGCAGTCCAAAGATTTCAAACACAGATGTTCTTTGGTCTTAATTACTTTTACTGAGGAAGAGAGCATACTGTTGGGTTGTTTTAAAAGTATTACCCTTTAAAACCTTTAGCAGCATTGACATTGAATTTAGTACCCAAAGGTTGTGATAAAAAAAGGAAGTATAGTGGAGTCTAACTTTGAGTGTCTATTTTCTGTTGTATTTTCTCAGTGAACATTGTGCTTTACTTTCTGTAGGAGGCAGGATAACACAGGCTATTGTAACCAATTAGAAGTTTGTTTCTTGCTCCATTAACAGTCCAGTATGGGTATTCCTGGTGGGTGGATGACCTCCACATGTTGATTCAGGGGCCTGGATTCCTTCTGTCTTGTGGCTCAGCAAACTTTTTCTTAAGGGGCCAAGGCTTGTGGGTCATACCATTTCGGTTGCAACTACTCAACTCTCCATTGTAGCAAGAAAGCAGCCGTAGACATGTGGAAAAGAATGGGTGTGGCTGTGATCCAGTGAAACTTTACAGAAACAAACCTCAGGCCCAGTTTACCCTGCCCTTGGCAGAATTTTTTGTATCCAACTGGCAGAAGGGAAAAGAAAAAGTAAAGAGAATGTATACTACTTATACTGCCCAAATCTAGAAGCCAGTCAGTGACACACATCACTTCCATTCACATTCCCCTGGGGTGAGCTGTTGCACAGGCCCTGCAGCGTGCTCAGAGTCCTGGGAAATCTAGGACGTGGCTGGGCAGCTTCTTCCCAGCAACATCGCTACGCTATGGAATGGGTACCTATATTTTGGAGGCACAGCTGCCTTCTCTGCCTCACTTTCATAGTGCTTATCAGAGCCATAGTTACCTGTTTGCTGCCTTCTCTAACACACCATAAGCTGCGTGAAGGCACAACCATATCCATCTTGTTCATCATTGGGTCCTCAGCACTTAGGCACTTGATAATTGTTATGCATGGATGGGTGGATGGATGGATGGATGGGTGAGGTTTTATCAGAAAATGTAGGCAGTGAGTCAGTATTGAACCTGTCATCTGAAATTGCTTTTTAAAAGAAATCCCTCATACTTGCTTTTAAAAAAAGTTTGGCAATAGGTTGATAGGGGTGATCTTTTACGAAGACAAAAAAGTAATTACTAAAATGTACAGCTTATGGTGAGTTTTTTCTTTTCCCACTGCAACGGAAAAGCCAAGATGGTCCATCTTTGCAGGATTTGAAACTTGATGTTTATTACTTGATCATTTGGCAATAAGTCTGTTCTCTTACCAGCATTCCTAGAGTACTGCCCTCCCGAATTCAAACGGTTTATGCCAAGTAGAGTCTTGGAGAAATGGAGATGGTAGCGAGTTCTAGATTTCTATTCTGCCTCCAGATTTATGGCTTCAAGGTGATAGAGGAGATGGGCTTTGATTTCTTTATACAACAGATCTGTGCACTTGTTTCTAGGGTGAATTGAAAGAGCTTCTTTCTGAAAATAGCTTGATTTGGGGAATTAGCTGTTTGGAGTTACTTTCTGTGTATCTGGTCCTTTTTAGTTGTTTTTTTATAGAGGATATAATGGTGCAGTTCTTGAAGGCTGGTATGGAAACTTTTAAAGAAATTCACTGACATAGGAGGCTATAAGCCTGCCTGTGAGACAGAGCTCTAGTACAGTGCCAGCCCCTTGACGGTGATCCTGCATATTTCATGTCCTATGTAGATTCTGCCTGGGAGCCCCATGAACCAAGCACGGCTTGGTACTTGAGGACTGTTTCAGGAGATCATGTGTTTTTTTTAAAACTCTGAGCTGTGTAAGTTGTCATTGATGAGTCCAGGAGGTACTTGCAGCCTGGACCAAGAGTCTTGTTCCTTTTCTGGCTCCATAAACAATTCAAGGAACATTGCAGTTTTTCTTTGAAGTGACTTCACATGAAGAGGCATGGGAGGAAGAGAGAAGTAAACCTTCTCTGTGCTTTATCTCTGAGTGATTTTACTATTCTATCCACACTGCAGACGTTTGTATTTTAAAATGACACTGCTACAGTGATGGGTATATGGGATGGTGAACCAAAAAG